TATGCTGTATCACATCATGTGCTGAGGTGAGGAAGAAATCACAGCTTGAAGTCCACATTTTGTAAAAGCCCTCACTATTGTGAGAGAGCATTTGTCATCAACTATAACAGGCAGTTGATAAAATCCAGACCATAGCAACACAGCCATGCCAAGAGTCCAGACAATTACATACCGCTGCTGTACACTTGTGTAACACACAAAATGAATGCGGCTGAAACCGAACGCTCCCCTAGCTTGCCTGATCTGGAAACATTCCCAAAAACACAGTCAACCACAGCCAATAAATAAAATAACCAGAAGAATGCATAATGGCCCTAGATCTGTCAGTCAATTCACTGCACCTACTTAAATGAGTTGAATTAGGCCAGTGGAAATAGTACGGCGGCTGTAAACTGGCGAGTAGTTGTTTACTCCTGTGGGCCCGAGCTGTGAATCAAAGGAAATATGAGCCGTCTCAGAGGAGGTGGCTGAGTGCAGAACAGGATCAGGTTACACAAAGCTGATAAAGAAGAGAGGAATGAGTAAAAAGGGGCGCACCATGTGGAGCAATAAACCCTCATAGCAACCAAGTTCACAAAACGGTTCATCACATATGAGCAACTATGGGAGTAACACAAGCATGTCCAAAGACTGTCATCCATATCACAAGAGAAATACATCATAGGGATGTAGAAATCATATTGCTAAATGCTACCTTACTGTTTAAAACAAACACTTTATTTACAGTTACTGGGTTTTTGAATGCAGAGAGCGATTTTGTCTTCAGACCTACAGTAAGTAGGATGTGCCCTCGTCTGTGTTGTTTAGGCAACGGCAGGAAGGAAGAGGATGAACTAAGTCTCTGATACGGCACAGAGAGCTTCTGTGTTACTTTGTTTGGGGTAAAGAGGAAAAGAGTAGCCTCATTGTCCCACTGACTGCTGTCACAGTGAAAAAGAAACCCGGATTCAAGTATCCCTGCTGGATGCCACCAAAAAGACTCAAGCAGATCAAGATGGCTGTGTGTGTTCAAGGGCCAAGATTGGTGGCCAACACTGCATTCAAAGCCCTGTTTAAAGTCCTAACAGGGAGCTTTTTTCTTGAACTGCCACAGCTATGCATCAATGTGCAACTGAGCACTGAGGCGAAGTGACAGATAATTAATTTTTCAAGGAGATTAGAAGCACGAGGGGGCAGGGCTGGGGTGCTCTGGAGAGTGGGGCAAAAGGCTCATGGGACCCTGAAAAAACACAGCAAGTTCAGCTAATAAGACGGTTCTTTTGTATGCAAACCGCAGCCAAAAGAACCGAAACACAAAAGAGGAGGCAGTATTATTAACAATCATCTGTTTTCTATACTGCTGTTACCAGATGAAGACAAAAACAATGCCAACCTTTAAGGAACAAAATAAAAGAAACAAAGAGTAACAGCTTTTTCTAAAACACCCAAGCAGTTTGACTGTTTTGTGAAGTCTTCATGGGTCCCAGGATTGCACAACTTTCTAACCCTGAGTGCATGACATCCAAAAGCAACAAAGCAAAGAAAACAACCAAAACTGAGATTTCCTACGCAACAGTTACAATATGCAAAATTAACTTCCTTGTGTGAAATGTTAATGTTCTTCATGTTGTGTATCTAACAAATCAAGCTTCCCTGGTAATTTGCTTTCCGTTTCAACCACACCCTTACTGTCCTCACACTCCTCACTGTGACACAGAAGTGCAATTAAGGGACAGGGAGAAGAAAATCAGACACCACAGACAGGACTCATCACAATCGCTGTGCTGAGAAGTATGGCTGAGCCGAATCATCAGACTGTGAAAACAGTCTTTTGAGTCAATGCTGGAGCCCAGTTCACTCCCTCCCTGCTCAGCTATGTTGTCAGTAATGAAAAAATTATCGGCTGTAATGTATTTATGAAGGAAACAGTGGGATTCAGCCATTCTGCCATGTTGTCAGACCGATGTGTGGGTGTTTTGGACAGAGCTTTGATAGGAGCTGACCTAAAATGACTGACCTGGCAAAGTTTCCTGCTTCTTTTTAAAGTGCCAGTAATAGGAAGAAACAGCCATTAGGTCTTTGACATTTTAAGTATGGGGCTGTTTCTTTTCCTCAACTGATGCAACCAAGATAACAGCTGAAGGTAAATAATTAATCTCAGTGACAGACATGTGTAAGGTTCACCTGGGCAGCGTCAGCTTTACTTATTCAGCATTATACAGTTCTGTTGTGCTCTGCTAGAAGCTTATGGTTTTAAGATTTGTCAGCGACATCAGAAATAATCTTTATGAGTGGATGTTTTTGATGGTGTTGCCCATTATTACTACTGTGTTCATCCTAAACACTAATACCATATTTTCCGCACTATAAGGCGCACCTAAGAGCCTTAAATTTTCTCAAAAATCGGCCGTGCGCCTGATAATCCAGTGCGCCTTATGTGTGCACTGAGTTCCAAAATCTGTAAAAATGTTGTTGTGCGACTTTGGTAAGCGCTCCACTTGATTGACTGTCGGACCATTTCCCGCTGACACAGGGACGTAATACGTACACTACGTACGCTGGCAGCGATAAACCAAGTCTAAACCGGTCTAAGGACCCCCGAAAATGGCATCAGTGAAGAGACATGCTTACGAGGCACAATTCAAACTACAGGCTATCAGTTACGCGGTTGTAAATGGGAATAGAGCAGCTGCGAAAGAATTCAAAATCAATGAATCTACGGTTCGGAAGTGGATTTGTGGGAAAAGATTGATTAAAAAAATAATGTGAGTGTGTTGTTAAATAGTAGAATAAAGTTCAACTAAACTCACCGTTTTGCTTCCGTTACGTTTTAGCGTGCGCCTTATGGTGCAGAAAATACGGTACTTATAATTCTTTGGCTGGCATGAAACTGCTGCTTTCCAGGAAATTGAATGCTGGATTCACTTACCTAATTTATTTTTACAAATTAAAGCTGAAGACATTCATTTTAAAAAGCTAAATTAACAGCTGATTTGTTTCTGGTCATAATAACAATGGATCCAACACCGTGTGTGACAGGATGCGCGGTTGAAGAAGTCTGATTTTATTGACAACAGCATGGTCTGCTGAAGGTTTCCTCCCAAGTTAACAACACAGTGTTTTACACTGTCACTCTCCCTTCTCTTTGACTTCAACCATCCCTGCCATCGCTGAAGGGAAACTTAACCCACTGTACCCCCTTCTCCATGGGAACAGTATAACACAGAGGCAGGGTGATATGCAAACACACGGCAGGTCACAGGACGTGCACACCTGAGCGGCTGTAACCGAACCCCTGGAAAGTACTGTCAGGCACTGCTGGACAGAAACAGAGGCCAAGTATGACAGAGAATCCACAGAAAAAGAAATTCTTTGCAAAGTGCAGACCTACAGGATTTTATAAACTGAAGGATCTCCTGGTCTCTTGGCTCCATTAATGTAGGACAGTATCAGGGACTTAAGCAGGAGGGGGGAGATTATCACCACGCCACCACAGCTGTAGCTGCAAAATCTACAGTGAGTTACCACCCCTCTCTGCCACCCCACCACCCTGTTCCCTGAGGGCAGATAGGAACAGCTTTCCAAACAGGGTGTTGTCTGCCTCTGTGCTGCTTGATGACACTGGCCGACCTGACCTGACCACACATTCACCAACCTCAGCTGGACGCACTGGTCTAGAAATACGTTGGCTGTAACAAAGTTGTTCGGCACAGTTCTTGGTGTACGTTGTTAATAATTCAAACAAATGAACAATAGGTAGGCTAAAGTGATTTGGTGTTTAATAAGAGTGATGCTCAGTTTTGAAGAAACGGTTTAACTCTGATGTGCCCCATGTCAACTTTGACTTAAGCATATATTAAAGATGGAAGCAGATGTTGACAAATTTCTTAATCGCGTAAAAAAGCGAATAACTAAAAGGTCATTTCAACTAGATAATGTTGTCAGCAGATTAATTCACGAAATCAATAAAAAGAAATGTCTTCCAGCATTCACTAAAAAGGACTGGCAGTGCTGTCAAGTCTGGAGCATCTGCAAAGGTGATGACATCATGAGAGATGTGGAAACATCTGGAGACATCAGGGCTGACAGGAACAGTAGTGTAGGAGTGGACAGCACCTACACCAACACCAACATAATTTATGATTTGCTGTCATACATTACATATGCGTGTGAACAAGATTTCACTCCCTCATGGACAATTAGCTCATTGAATCATTTACTGTTGTTTGAGCTCAAATATTTAGGGCTCCAGTAAAAGATATTTCCATTATCCAATTGTTGGCCTACAAGATGTCAGAAAACGTCAAATATCCTGTTTTATCCAATCAACAGCCCTCTATTGTGCTCTACAAATCCGAGGAATAAAAAAACAAAACAGCACATAAATATGTTTACAGGTTGTTTATGAGTTAAAAGCTTGTCCTATTGCCAACATAACATTTTCTGACATATCACTCTGACACTACCTCTTTCTTTCTTTCACCTGAAGACATTTACCGTATTCATGCTAATAGGCGTTTTCTCTTCACCTGCCTCTCGCGCATGCGGATACAAAAATATACGAGCGCGCGCGCGCGCACACACACACACACACACACACACACACACACACACACACACACTTGGACACTATTGACAAGTGACGTCACGTTGAGTGCTCGATACTAGAGCTAAACGTCGTTAAAGTTTGGCAAAAACAGCTCTTTGACACTTCGCAGACCGAAAACGGTTGAGTTTAATGTAGGAAAACAAACTTGTGCACTGGAGGCTCGAGCTTTAGTCCCAAACAGGAGGCAGCACTGGCCGCTCCGAGGCACGCGGAAATGTCCTCCAAAGACACGGCTGGGTTTGCGCTCAGGTAAGCAAAAGATAGGAAAAAGCACGTAAACAAACACTGTCCCACACGAACAAACACACTTTTATAGAAAGCTGGCTGTGAACTATCGATAAAAAAAAACTGAAAAACGTCACTGAGTATGAAAACCATCGAAAAAAGCAAATATTCATTCAGTGAATCTCACCTGTCGAAAGTGTAAATTATTCCAGGTTAGTGTTGCTTTCTCCGGGACACTGATCTGGCTCTCCTTTCCCCGACTCTCTGCTGCAGCTGCTGCCGACAATCCTCTGAACAAAAATGAGTAAAAGAAGCGTCACCTCAGCCCCAGACTCCGCCTTCCTCACCCCGACCCCACCCTGTGCTGCTCTGCACGCTGGGAGACGCTCAAACGCTTCTTTTATTGTTAGGAGCGATGGTCAGTAATATACAAAATAAATAAAATAAGAAAGTGTTGTAACATTTCACACATCTGGCACAGGCTTGTAAACAGATATCCCATTCACCTAATACAGTGTGGAACAACAGCACAGCCTGCAAGAGCAAAGCAAAGCTCACCAGGCGTGTGAATGACCTGGCATTGACAAGATTACACTAGAACACAGCAGTGACTGTAAACAGCTCAGTGTTTCAAGCATATTGATCGATATTACAATCTTGTTTGTGTTTTTGTTTGCTTTGTTACTAAGTGTGATAAAGGCTTCGCCAGAGCCGTCTGTTCACCTGTATGTCGACCGACCACACCTTAATGACAACACGAAACCAGACGACCAAATGAGTCACTCCAGCCGGGAAGCAGTGCGCTGAAAGAGGGGTTGCTCACAAAGATCACAAAGAGACAGATATGAGTTTGTGTTTGTGTCATGTGTTTTACACAATGTTTCTTTTTCTGCCTTTTCTGACAGTAGTTATTTAGAGCAGAGGTGTCTTCGAGGGGGTTGAGACAGACAAGAACAGATTTATCACAACAACATTAGTCTAGCCATATAGGTTTGTAGCCTACTTCCTGTTTCTAGGACTGGATTTTGAATGAGCAGTGGTTTCAGTCAGTCTTTTTTCTGCTTGACTTACAAAAGCACATTGAGGAACCAGGTTCCTGGTGTGTTCAACACACTTGGCCAATAAAAATGAACCTGATCCTGATCTATTAGCTGCTTTCGCTATGAAATATAATTTTACTAAATTTGTTTTGTCAGACCAACAGTCCAAAGCCCACAGAGATTCAGTTTACCATTATAGAAGATGAAAAACAGCAAATATTCACATTTGTTATTAATCTGTTATTAATGTTTTGCTGACTCAGTTTCTGGGAATCGAGAGATCAACTAATTGTTTAAACTGTGTGTTGGTTCACCAACACACAGTTTTTGTCTGTGATACTCCTAGAAGACAGGATATAGTCATAAAAACATACATTTTATAAAGACAAAACGCTTGACAGACTCACCCATTCTCACACACACACACACACACACATCAATTGCAATGGAGCTGCCATGCAAGGCACTGGTCTGGCCACCAGGAGCCACCTAGGGTTCAATGTCTTACACAAGCTTCTCTTTGCACGGCAAATAAATACATAGACAAATGAGCAGATATCTCATTGTGACAGAAAGATTAAAAAATACAACAGACACCAAAAGGTGTCACCTGATTTTTGCTTATTCCTCTCACTGCCTGTGTGATTGGATGACAGGCTCTTATCAAGCTGGACATTATACCCTGCCTCGGGGTATTTAACGCTCTCTCCTACGTGGCTATGGTGACAGTCATCATCTGTGCATCCTAGACCAAAAGAGACTGGGATAGAGAGAGACAATGCAAGCTGGACCACTTCTGGTTTCATAGGCTGTTATATTTGTCAGTCTGAGTGTGTGACTGACAGTTCTCACTTTAAAAATAGCCTCAGGCTCAATTGACACCCTTGGGTTTTCATGTGTTACTTGAAGGGCTTGACTGTCAAAACTTTTCTGGTCTTTGACTTGTCTCTGCTTTGTCAGATATGACTGGATAGCGGTGATATGAATGGTGCCATTGTTTTGAACACAGCAGTGTCTTTCTTTTGAAAATTAGCCACAAATTAAAAGAGTGGGACTCATGTGGGACTGCGGCTCACCAGTTCTGCTAAAACCATTTGTTTTTTTTTGTCTCTGATCTGATGTTTGCCTTTTTATAATGAGTCCACAAGAGTTACTTTGTGTGTTGAAGCCACATGTTAGAGGCAGCTTGCTTACACTCCTTGAGCTCTTGTGTGGGAAGTTACAAGTTCTTTGTCTTTGTCTATCTAGTATAACATGTCACAAATATGTGCAGAAAGTCTGATATATTTCTAAAGACGGTGTCTGGATATCCTGTAGGCAGGAGTTAAGAAGATGTCTGCACTGGTGTCTGGCAGCCTTGGCTCCAGTTTTGCCCTGTAACCTCCCAGCACACAGCCAATGAATGTCGCTGTGTGACTGAATTTATTTCAAGAGCAAGACACACTGACATAATGTCCCGGCTTTACACTACTCGCCTGTTTCGCTTTCTGCCCCCCACCCTACAGGAAGCGCCCCCATTGTGAGTGGAAGTGGCCTGTTGCAGACCACTAGCTCACTGGACTGATGGAGAATGTGTTAAATTATTAATCACATCTTACAAATGAAAGACACACAGACATTATATCCACAGAGGAATATTTTGGAACAATGGATGGTAGAACTGCTGACCACCTGTAGCAGGTGAGAGACACTGTTCTATGAGTCTTAAAGCATTTTGTGGCATTTTCTGCTGGGGAGGCGACAGTGGTGCGGTGGGTAGAGCAGTCGTCTCCCAACCAGAAGATTGAAGGTTTGGATCTCGGTGCCTGCAGTCCACATGTCGAAGTGTCCTTGGGCAAGACACTGAATGCCCCCGATGGTTAGAGCCATCGGTTGAGTTGGCGCTGTAGATGGCTGCCTCGGTTCTGTACCGGCAACAAATTTCTTGTGTGTAACATACTTGGCCAATAAAGGTGATTATCCATTTTCTGCTGGTATGAAGCCTAGAAAATTTCTCTAGATTTATTTGCTCATCTGTAGATAGTCCAAAGTTCCATTATTCTGTGCACCTTTCTAACTTCCTGTCTACATCAAATTAAAAGTTGAGCTTGGAAACAAAGAAAAATTCCCCACTCAAGGTTAAATCTATTATGCTGTTCAGAAAAGCAAAATTTTTGTTACTACATAAGTATTAGGCTGGTTGTAATTTACTATTTTTAAATCAAAAATTAGATTTTATTTTATTTTATTACACACAAAGACAACACCCACAAAAAATAAAGACTTTTCCAACAGAGATTTCTGCAACTGCAGAGAGGATAATTGGGACTGAACTGCCTGCAATGGACACCCTGTACACACAGCGCTGTCGTAAAAGGGCAGAGAACATACTCAGAGGTCCACGCCACCCAGCTCACACTCTGCTCAGACACAAAAACTGCACCTACAGCCTCAGGCACAGCAGGGCGGGCAGTATCATCACACACAGAACTAGACTTTACAACAGCTTTTTCCCTGCTGCAGTAAGACTGATGGCAAATACGAAAATGTGAGAATATATGTGCAATAACCCCTCACTAGACATGCACAATAATAATACAGAAATGTTCCACAAGATATGTTTGTAAGAGCATCTCATCAATAGTGTTCTCTTGTGGGACCTGAATAATAGGAGGACATTCTCTACCAAGCAATGGAAACAGGCCTGAATATAAACTGTGGTTTAGTATGTTATAACCCCTCACTACCTCACCAAGCGTAATGACATATCCAACTCCATGTGAATTACTGCGGTGTTTGAAGTTCACTGGGAAAATACTATTAACCTATTTTTGTGTATTGCGGTTTTAATGCTTTGTTGCCTTTATGTAACTTTTTATTTTAAGACTAAGTGTTCTTTCTGGCTTTTGACTCCTTACCTGACTCCAAAGGGGAGCTGCACAAGAATTCCTATATGCCTAGACTGTCTGTTTATGCATAAATGGCAAATGAAAATCTTGACTTGACTTGAGATGTTGCCCACAAATCCTTTCTGTTCATTCAGAGTACTGCCACTAGAGGTAGACAGACTCATACATTTAGTTTGCACTTAGCAAGACTGGATACATTTGTTATGGTCAGAATCAGCCCATGTGTGCATGAGGGTGTGTAGAATGTCTGTGCGCATCCTCAGGCCTGTTTGGTATTTTGCACTCAACGTTAAAATTGCTGAGCATTTGCCTCACTCACTTGTGTGCCATTACTAGTTTGAAACGATCCAGATAAGGTAATAGGCAGCTGAAAGTCACAACTACTGCAACTGTTTTTTAAATGGCACACATAACAACCAGAAAGCTGTCAAGCTTGTAGGGGTCACTACTGCTAATGGAGGTCTGATTAAGATATGTGAATAAATCATCAAAATTGATAACAGCTGATGTATGAGAGCTTATCCTTGTTTGTTTATAAGCAAATTATACATCAGATTATAGTCTTTAGAATTTAGAACTGAAAATTTGTCACATTACACACAGTCTGCAGGCTTGATCTATAGCCTATGATCTTTGTCAGGTAGGGCAACCAGATTAACCACATGCGTTTCGCTTTCTTAAAATACTTTGCACGTGACCGGTTGCTCAATTTCCACAAATTGGTCTTTTAATGTCTTATATCTCTGCAGTTGGAACTGTGAGCCTGAATACTACCATTTCTAACAACAAAACTAAACAAAGTAACCTACTGCAAATGGATTTCTTTAGACAAAATCATGTTGTTACAGAACTACATGTCCCATGATGCCTCGCTTTCATGATAACCAAATAGAGCACAGAGCGGACCGACAGCTGGGCTTCAAGTTTACTGAGGGAAACTCCAGCTCCAACTACGACCTTGACCAGTTCAATAAGCATGTAAGTTTAACATCCTCCTTTTTCTTTCATAGACAGTTCTGTTGTACGTCTGTAGCGTCGGCGTTTCTTTCTTAAAACTTGGTGAGGGGGAATTTGCATAACTGTTCAGGGAGGGATTCCTGCATCGATGGGAGAGTCGAAGATAGGCTTCAAGCTGTTCTGTTGTTGTTAACATCTTCCGAAGAGTCCCCTTTTGACTAACACCTTACATTTCATCATAACTTCAGTGGCACTTTAGTTAGACGTGATAGAAACGCGTGTAGAAACTTGTGTCAATAATTAAAAACATGCAGTTTTAGATCTATATTTTTAGCTAGCCAGTGACTATTCGGCTTCACCTCCCCCGGTATGGTTTTAGTAATGATAGCCAAAGCCTTGTGGAAAAAAAAAAAGGATTAGCCTAATGTTACTGGCGAACTGTCAGGTGTTGATAATGCGTTTTAATCACAGCAAACATGTTAAACACAGTCCCTTTGTCAAGAACCATAATCCCATTGGAGTAAAACATCACCTCCAGTTTCTCCTCTTTCAAAACACGTCCAGTACTTGATGTTAAATAAAACCATCCTCTCCTTGTTAATCCTGCAGTTCTTGCAGGGACAACAGCTTCTGTATAGTTTAGTTTTCCTGTAGAGTCAGACATCAGAGACTCACAAAAGGTGTCTCCAGTGGGGAAAAATGGCACCATTGTGTGTAAACCACACCTTATTCGCTGTATTCAGCACAGTTGGTTGAGATTTAATGTGCTGACCTCACCGAGGCACAGCTGACCCAAATACAAACTAAAATGAGATCTAGATCCGGACTACTGTATGAACCATGAAACACATGACTGTCCTTCATGCTGCTAAGGGGAAAGAATAACTCAGTCTGTCCCTGTCTCATAAGCGCCACCCAGGTTTTTGCTCAGAATAGAAAAATGTTAACAAAGACATATTTCTTAAAGAGCATGTTTAAACAGAATAACTATAAAATGTTTGAAAATATTCTAAGATTGCCCTGAATTAGTTGTTTTGTTACTGGTTATGGAACAGTAGACAGTTTCAGAGGACAGGTCAGAACTTTGTTTTTATGAAAATGGGTTATGTTTGTATTCCTCAAAATAAGATGCCAAAGGTTTCATTTCAGCTGACACACAGGTCTAGTTATTAATGAATAACAACAATCCATGAAAAGTATTTTAGACCCTCTAATGTTGCTCCAACACAACCAGAACAGAACTGAAATTTGAAACACTGTTTAGGATTAAACTAGAAAAAAGCCCAGAGCTTTCATATGACTGGATTTATTAGATTTTTTATTTTTATTTTGGTGAAGTTGAATTATTATTTGCAGTAAACTTTGTCAGCAGTGCAAACTTACCAGCATGCCTTTCAGTAATTCTGTTTGCACAGACATTTCACCTCAACCACAATAAAATAACAGCTGTTTTCAGTTCTCGCAGTCAGTTTTCACTTGTTTGTAATCAGCGTTTTGGGGGAGGGGTCCAGTTTTAGCTTCAGTTTTAGCTTCAATAGAAAAATGATTAAATAGTGAATCACTTTCTGTTGTGCTATGGGACAAGCTTGCAGTTCTCCCTTGATCTTCTTTGCTTTTCATTTTTCTCAGGGATTAAAAACGAAGCAAATTAAAATTTGAAAAGACTTGATACCTTCTTTGTGGAATGTGGAAGTGAATCCCTCATGAACAGACTCAGCTCAGTGATGTAATACCCCAGTTCTTTTATTGGACAGATCTGAATAAGGAAGGAGTCTGTCTTTCTTCATTTTAGTGCTGATTTCTATAAAGCCACAAATAAAAATTACAGAACACAACCCAGGTGGCTCCCTGCTCCAGACAAGCTGCTGGAAGAAAGGAGCTCCCAGAAACACAGAGCCTAATACATTTATAAGTTTTTGGGCTAACCCCTTACACAGACAGATATAAAAACATCACAAGTTGGAGTCAGTCCGGTGTCTCCTTCTCTTATCTAGAGCTCCACAAGGCTTAGAGCAGCTGGTCATAACAAAATGTGTGTGTGTGTGTGTTGTCACATGGTGTTTAACTAAAACATTCATTCAGACATAATTCTAACACAATATTTAATACAAGAAAACAATTGGTGTCATGGTAACTGTAGCTCACATTTCAGGATCAACATTATCTTCTAACCTTGAAGCAAAGCAGACTAGAGCAGACTTTGAATCTTACTAAACTGCATTACTAACACATTAAAGTCTAACACATTAATGTCTAATAATTACTAATACCTGACAGTGAGTTTGACCGAGGTGAGGAATTTCGGCTCCTTACTTTTTGGACAACATTTTGTGTGTTGTATTTAAATTGTTTTGCCATTGGCTGCATCAGGTTAGGCTCCATGAAGAGAGGAGGTGGCAGCGTTGCTGGAAGATCCATAAAAAAATTACACTGCCCCCTTTTTAGTCAACATGCAATCATCAAATTAGACTGACCTGATTTTGCAGTGAAAACATGCAGGCTGGAGTGAATTACAAATGTCAACTGTGGCTAAAATCATGTAGATTGTTGTCCATTGATAGTTGTGTTGTTTTACGTATTTTTCATCTGGGGTCATTTTGTGTCTTTTTGGAGCCAGTTGATTTACTTTCCAACAAGAAAAGTTAAGTCACTTCATACAGATGCTTTACAGGGGCCCCTGATCCCTTGGGCTCCTGGGCCTGTTCAGTAATCCATCCGTGGGTAAATACCAGTGTTTGCAGTACTCCCTCAAGATAAAGTCTGAACATGAAGACTATTGTAATTCTATTTCACAAGCATGAACCAATCAGGTCCAAATGATGTCCAAGCAGACTCTATGGTGAAACTTTAAGTTCAACCAAAAAGAGAACAAGACATTTACAAGTTCAATATGACAAGTTTAGTAAGGCCTTTTTCAACAAAATAGTGCAGGTTTGTTTAGTTTTACTTAGCTGTAATTAACCACTGATTGCAGTCTGTAAATCATTTACCAGCAGTGCTGAGAAGCTGGCCTTTTATTGTTGCTGTGATAAAGGCTATACTGTAGGCATACGTCTAATTTGACTAATACAGCAAAAAGCAGAGCTTGGAGCTTTGCAGAATTTGCGTGATGCAAATGACTCTGTCCATGGGGAAGAGGAAAACTACTGTGTGGCAGCAAGTGCTGACTTGAACTGAAGTAACTTGAGTTGAAATTAATTGATGACTCATAGACCACTATCTATTCTTTTATGTTTCTTCTGTGTATCCACTGTCTCAAGTGATTAAAAACCAGCACTCCTTTTCTCTGTATGTCCCTCCTCTTTCACTTCCACTTCAGCCCCACCTCCACCCCGCCTCAGTGTTGCACTCTCTCTTCCTGACAGGACACACTCAGGACGGGACAGAAGCCGGCCGGTGAAACGGCACTAGCAGCAGAGAGCTTTTAATTTGATGGGTATATACTGAAGGAGGCCCATGCACACAGAACATCACATTCTATGATAACCACTGCAGCAGCACAGTAAGTCTGTTTCACAGGCTTTTGAATTGAATCTGTGGCAGGTGGGCTCGTCCAGTGTTATTAGCATTTTAGCATGTTGTATCCCTCGTGTGCTGTGTTCAGTCTGTGTTGATTTAGTTCTGATGTAACAGAGAAGCTCGTTTGTCAATGATTTAGTTCTGATGTAACAGAGAAGCTTGTTTGTCTCTTGGTGCTTAATATGTCAACAAGGGTGGCATCAATGAAAGGATGTTTTTGTAGTTGTGATAGCATTTTATTCTAAGTTATGAGCCATTTTCTGCCATTTTCTTGCCTATATACAACTATCACTTTGTTTTTGCTGAATCAGTCCTAGTAAGTTAAAAATTTATTTTAGGCCTGCCTCTGTATGTTTGAACCAGCCCTGCTGATCAGATGACTCGAGGCTGTTTCAGGTGTTGTTATGTTCATCACTGAAGTGTCACATGTGACAGTGTGAGGCAGACTTTTGTTTTTATTTTGTGTGTTTCGGTTTCTGAACGCAGTCCATCAGAACGCACAGAAAACAGGTTTATTTGAGAAGCTGTATGTTGAGGCTCATAACACAAGACACTGGCATGGTAGCTCATGTTGATCTCATGTTGTGACTGCCATTGCACCTAACTGAACACTTTGTATGCTAAAATAGTATTTTACCTTCTCTGATTGTTTAGCTTAATCAGTCATCAGAGCAGCCAAATATATTAAAAGTAAACATAAAGAGACATGCTCTCAAGTGTGTACAGTGTAAAGTGATCCCATTTAGTAAATTTATCTCAGGTCCTTCCCAAATGATTCGTACAGTGGCCCTTGTGTTCAGTAATCAGCTGGACTCAGTGATGTGTGGTTTGGTTTCTATTAGATTTTTTTTCTTCCCAGGCTTCAGTTACACATTCAGAGGTTGTCTTTCAAAGGTGTTTGCACCAACTCAGGCTGACTGAACAGAGGTCAGATTAAAAAAGACAATGTGGTTGATGTTTAAAGATAGCAAGATGCATTTTCCCGCGACCCATTCGGGACTAAGCGGTATAGATAATGGATGGATGGAAGATCCATTTTAAGATATTAAAGACCACTGAGCTGAATTCAAAAAGGGCCCCAGGCAGAGGCACTCTTTAAAGCAGAATGAAATCCTGCTGGCCGTCAAGTCAGATGTTTTAAACCAAAGTTTTCTGTGTCCTTTACCAGCTCCGAGAGCAGATTTAAGGGACCACATGTTGAGCGAACAGAGCAGATTGCCCATTAGAGAGTGAGTGATTGGTATTTGGGTTTTTGTGACCACTTTCTTTTCATGTGGAATTGCTGTTCAGATATAGCTCTCCCAGTTGCCAGGGTGACAATGTCGCTCTTGTTAAGGTCGTCTGCACACCGACCTGTTGTTTCCCATGCTCTCCTCCACTTGTTTGTTCAGTTTTAATCCTTGTATCTCATACTACCTAGCTGTTCAGCTGTCATTCCCCTCCTACACCATGTTCTTTCCAGGTACTGTAATTAATAGATGAATCAAGTTCACATTTGATTGCACAAAGCTGGCAAACATTGGCTGGTTCCAGCTTCTCAGGTGTGAGGCTTTGTTGCTTTTCATATTAATATAAGTTGAATATCTTTGGGTTTTGCAGTGTTGGTCAGCCAAAACAAGCATTTTGAAGACTTTTTGTGATCTCATGGACTAGATGATCAGTTGATAAAGGAAAAACACAATTGACAGATTAATCAGTCTGCAAAATCATTATTTGCAGACCTACTATTTCTGGACACTCTTCAGGTTTTCATCAACCCACTTTATCAGTCCATTTCCTATACCTGTCCAGATCTCACTGATGTGGCAAATGTCAGTATTTGTTCTGTATCTGGCAACACCTCCTGTCTTTTGTCTTTGAGTTTGCTTGCTGCAGACCTGTGGCTGATATTAAAGAAGGTGTTGGTAATAGTAGAACATATATAATTTTACATCATATCTGTGTTATATGAGAGTGATTCATGACCGAGCTGGCAAGATAAGACCCGGCTTTATTGGCTGTCTTTGCGTGAGTTTGAAACTCTGTGTTCCCAGCTGTTACATCAGTGTCCTTTTATGATACCACAAAGTAGCTAATAAACCTTTTTATGGGAACTTGGCAAAGTACATATGGTTTGTTGATGGTTAACCAGATAGTTCTCATCATTCAACACTATGGAGGAAACTTGTGTTCAGGACATTGGTGATGTAATTAATGGGATTACATCTTTGAGTCTGACACACGGGTTTGGAGCTGGTTAGTGATGAACAGTGACACTGTGGCCAAAGCTGAATTTTACTACAAGCTGAAGGTCTGAAAGAAATTCAGAGTTGGTTGGTTTATTATAAAGTGTGTGTATATTTCAAAGACATGCATGGCTAAGTTTGTTATTTGGTCATGCATCACAGCGTGCAATATGATTGTTCAGTCCCGTGTGATTGTCACGGCTATTGTTACCCAAGCAGCAGAATATAGCACTGGTTGACAATGTGGGCAGACAGGCATTACTTGTCAAACATATTGGATCGGCCCATAAATGTCATTTAATGCAGTGTGTGTGCATGTGGCAGGTTTCAGACATTGTGAGCTGTTTGTGGACTTAATAGTGTGCTCAGATGGTGAACTGATGCCCATCTGCTCATCTCTGTAATATAACATACTGTAGACATGCTGTGGGTCATCTTATCCTCTCAGCTGACTGGGTTCAAATCCAGCCTGATGTTTGAGTCACGGCTTTTTCCACAGAGATGTCGGGCGTTGTTGGTAAATTCAGGGAGAGATTTTGAGCATTTAAAGAACTTTGCTAATTAATGTTTGGATGATTTTGTGTTGTGCTAGTTGTCTCTCACACAAGATTGTTACATGATTATATTTTATTGTGATGAGATATTTCTTCAGAAGTAGTTTATGCTAAACAGTACAGTACAGCATATCTTTTTGGAGACGTTTAATCACTTTATGGCTGCAGTTATTCAGACCATGTGTTGTCTTGAAGGCCTGTGTACGTAGTGTGGAATATGTTATATGGTGAACCACCACAATGTGCTGGAGAAAAAGACTAAATACTAACCACCAGTTTCTCAAGCTGTGAATATTACATTACAAGTTAGATTTATATTTTTGCAGAGGGAAATTGTCAGTAAGGGCGGGTTGAGCATGAAACAGTGTTAACATGCACCAGCTTGTATAGAGGTTTGTTGTGATTTGTAGAGGATTATTAATATTCTTACATTTTACTGTGTGCCTTTCAAATATGTAGTTCAAGACAAAAGTGTCCAGAAATAACATTGTAATAAAGAATACATTAAAAAAAGAAATGCTTTGGTAAAACAGTTGACATTCATTGTAACTGGCTTCAATTAACCTCATCGGGTTTCAGCTTTACAAACAAAAGTACGGCTGTCATTTACATACCTTTTAATTTCATGCCAGTTTAGGAAGAGTGCGACATGTATTTGTTACTTTACAAAGGATATCCTCTAGTTACCCAACCTGAGTTCCATTATATTTAATCTGAGCTGCAGGATATGTCCTACTGTTGTACTACAGGTTTGGTTTTTTTATTTCTGTTGTATATATTTAAGATGACCAACACTGCTACAGTGTCCTAATCACGTTAGACAATTTGGACTTTGCTGCTTGAATGAACTAACACAGTTTCTTTTTTTCTGATCAGCTATACGTTCAGTAGTTTTTTCCTGCTAGTTACAGAGAGAAAAGAAGAGATTAAAAGAAAAGAGCATTTTGTCTGGTGTACAGAACAAAGCTTATTCCGTCCGCTGGAAAAAGGCTGAATAGGAAGTGTTAACAATTAGTGTAAATGCCTGTACACCCTGCCTCCATTTCTCTTTCACTCCTGTGTGCCTCCGCTCACGTACACACCCTCGTGGAAGGACATTGTTTGCACAGAGCGCTAGCATAGACCTTTTCAAACGCCCTCTGTTCAGTTCAGCTCAGGTCAGTCAAGGCTCCAAGGTCAAAGGCGGGGTTTTCTGCTTCACAGTTTAGTAGCATGAGGCAGCAGCCTTTTTTTAAACCACAGTTCATGTGATTAACTTTATTACATTAAGGATGTGTTAATTCTGGTTACAGAACACTTTCAGAAATCTCTGATGACATTTTAAATCTGTTTTGGCTAGTTCTTCTGTTGCTCTTGTTGAGGTTGGTGTGCTGGTCTTCTCAGCGTGTTATGTACAAAATATGCCCTGGCTGATTATTCAGCTGAAAGTTTTTTTGTCCCCTTTACCGCCCTGCCTAGCACAAGAATACAAGGGATGGGGGAGAAGGCTAATAACCATATCCCCCAGTGTCACCACGAAGTGGCTGACTGGGTCTTGTTTGGCTGAAAGGGTTAAAAAATCAGCAGTGCGATTCATTTACTGCTGAGTTGGAGCTGATGGAGTGTCTTTGTGAGCAGCTTGGATATGCCCGTTTGTGTAGATTTTACTTTGTGTGTATGTGAAAATAAAATGTTTTATATCCATAGTGTCTGTTAAGTTATGGCTAAGTGTAAATGATGTCTCCTCACACCAACACACACTGTAGATTTACTGCCTGGTGGTGAAGAGTGTGTGTGGCCCGGTGTTACTCGTGTTGTGGGGGATGTAGGTTTGTTTACACACTCACATTGTGGGAACCCGGTGTCGAAGTCCCAAACATGTAAATGGTTCCATTTTAGAGTGAGGACTTGGTTTAAGGTTAAGGTGTGGTTGTGGCTGGGGTTACGGTAAGTCTCCAGGAAAGTCCTCTGAAATTTTGTAAATACAATGTAAGTGTGAGTGACTCATCTGACTTATACCATAGCTATAAGAGAGAGGAATGATGGGGAAGTGTTGGCCACAAGCCAAAGCACTCAGCTGATTGGATAGACTGCGCAGTGAGACCAGTAAGGATAAAGGTCTTCTGGTGGTAGCTGTGATAGTGGTGCTGGCGCTGCAGGGTTAGTTCATATGTAATCAGGTGGGTGTGTTGTGAGGTGTACACTGCTGTGTGTCACGTGTATCTGTGCATGTGTCTAGTAGCTGTTGCTTTTATGGGCCCTTTGTCCTTTTATTATCTCCAGTAACAGGGTTGAGGTGTCGCATACAGGGCTGAACAGTACGGGGAAAAGGCTCATCACAGTCATTTAGTAAGATACATTATGTATAAAAAGTACAGTATAAAATGTTTAAGGACATTTTTTACCTAATTGATTGTGATCATTTATACACACAACATCACATTTTAATGCTCATAGTGTATTGTTATGTTAACACATTAATGGTGTCTATTATAGTATAAAAATATGGCTCTGAACTGTCAGATATTATATTGACTTCAATCCAGTCAGTATCTTTAAAGACGTACATACATATATATTCAGATACAAAGATTAAAATTTTTATATCTTATGACATATACTGTAAAATTCTTATTTTCCATATTTGTATACTATTGGCCAAGATATACTGTAAAATGCCACCTAGAGTATGGTGCGTAATGTCGGCCATCAGTCACTGACATTTTGCTTGCACTACGGAATAAGACACTGCAGCTATTAAAGGTTCTGTGCATAATTCACATACTGTATCATATACTGCCTCATCCTGTGTGTGATTACAGGAGTGTTACAGTAACGCTGAGGAACCTGATCCGTTTGCCTCTTCAGGCTGTGGAAACTCTAGCTGTGTGACCCTAAAACAGAGAGAAGGCCAGGCCCCGCTTTGTTAGTGGTGAAAGGCTCTTTGGTCAAACAAAAGGATTGATGCTGGGACAGTTGAGTCTTGAAAAATAAATGAATCTCATTAAGTTCCATAATTAAATACATTAGAAACTGCAGCTGAGGCCACAAGTTCAATGTTGTTTGGAATGTTTATAAAATAATTGAAAACACAATTTAAAGAATATTTCAAAGTGTCACAGTATGAACCACACCGGATGCCAAACCAGATGAGGCTGCAGATACTAGTAACAGGTGTTATATACTAACATTAAATTCCCTGAACTATGTTAAAAACTTTCCCTATATTCATACAGGGTAAATGTCATTTTTTAATTTGCAGTATATACAGTATGTTTGCTTGCTGAAAGTCTGGAAGCTGTTCTCATATCATATTACAGCTGAGGCACACATTATATGGCAAAACAGTTGTAATATTATGCTGCACTACATGAGGGGTTTCCTGCACAAAGCTCTGGTAACATTTTAATGTTTCTACTCTCTTGTCCTCCCTCTCTTGCTCTTTCTAGTCATATTCCTCTTGGCCAGTCGGAGCCAGATTCCCTGGAAACCGGTGTTTCCTCCCTGAGCCACCAGGGGGCCTCAGTCATACAGCGGGACACACAGCTCTGAGTTTGCATTCACCCTGAAACCTTCAGCCCCAGTCAAGCTGTCTCACCCTGCCTCCCATTCCTCCTCTTCTGCTCCTCTTTCTCCTCCCTCCTGGCCCCCACAGGCCCACCTGGACTCCCAGTCAGCCCTCTCCCTCCATGAGGGGCGGGGGGATGTGCTGGGGGCCCTGGATACGGACCCCCAGCCTCTTCAGCGTCAGCTTCACCGCCCCTGCCACGATGTGTCAACTTTGACAGGTACGTCACAGAAGAGACATAATTTATAATTATCTTTTAAAAGATAATTATAAACAGCTAAATATACAAATGGAAACTTGCTCTTCAATCTGCAAATGATGTATATGTTTCTAATTCCCAGTGGTGGAAAGTAACTAAGTACATTTACTGCACTTAAGTATAATTTTGAGTAATTTTATTTTCTGTCACTTCATACTTTGACTTAACTACATTTTAGAGGCACATATTGTTCTTTTTACTCCATTACATTTATTTTATAACTTTTCAGAACCAAATTAATACAAAAAATACAGAATGACTATAAGACTTTATTGATCTGTGTTGGGAAACTCACAAGCTACCCAACGGCAAGTCAAACTAAATGCATATAATCTATTTAAAGCTAGCTCCCTCTTTACCAGCTGCAACATTAAATGCATAGTAATTAATTATAATTTTTTAAGTTTGCTTTGATGCTAATACTTTTGATCTTATACTTAAGTAACAGTTTGAATGCAGGACTTTTACTTGTAACAAAGTGTTTTTACACTGTTGTATTGGTACTTTTACTTAAGTAAGGGATCTCAGTACATCTTTCACCACTGCTAATTCCAGTGTCAGATGTGCACCCAAGAGGCCAGTGTAGTTTCATACATTTGTCAGCAGAGGGCAGTGTGTCATTGTAACATATTGGCCCGGCTGTGGTTTGTAAAGTGCTGCTTCCTTTCTCTTTCTTTGTTTGTCTTGTTTGTCCCTGTACGTTCCTGAAGATATAAATACATGCACTAACAAACACTCCTCATGCTCAGATCTTTGTTCAGACCTGCCAGAGTTGGAGATCGTGAGCCTGCTATCAGAGGGTCAGCCCAACTACACTCTTCGAGCAGACAGTGTGTTTGGGTATGACAGTGATGACTGGCTGCATACCCCCCTGCTGCCACCAGACGTTGTTCTGGGTCTCACACATGAGCAGATTGAAGAAACATTCAAGTACTTCTGTGAGTACTGTTTTATTTTCACTCAACATAGACTGTAGTATGATGCGAAATTCCCCATGTCTGAGAATGGGTTACAGCCGACTTTCCTTAATCTCTGGTAAACAGTATCATGAAATGCACAATGTGACCTTTTTCACATTTGACCAGAGGCTTCAGTGAAATGTAGACCAACACCTCTGGGAAATGAATTATAATAACACTACATGATTTTACTGTTGTCATCGTTATCGGTGCATAAACAAGTGCAGAATCGGTTGTAGTGGCTACAGTACGTACTGTACATGCCAGACCATTCATTTATACAGTTGCACCTCCAAGTGTAAATTACATTTACACATAGAAAAAAGTGCATAAAATATTTGTAAACACTATATTTTCTAATTGCTGTTCTCTGTTCTGTTCTCTATAAGCTTTATGTATCTTATCCACTACTGTAATTTCAATCCATAGTCTGTTGTATATTGTACATTACCCTACATATCTTATTGAAACTACAAATTGTACATATCGGTAAATTAGTTCTGACTGTAGATACTGCGCACTCTGCACTACTGTTATTGCACTTCTGGTTAGATGCTAAACTGCATTTCTTTGCCTTGTACTTGTACTTGTACATGGGTAAAGACAATAAAGTTGAATCTAATCTAATCTACTGAGATGCTTCTGCCACAATATGTCAAAGATGTGTTTTAGGATTCTCCTGTTTTACTAGACTGACTTTGAGAGACAGTCACTACTACAGGTGAAACTTTCAATTACATGACCAACAGAAAAATAGTCAGTCATCAGCAATTCAATAGTCTATTGTTAAATAAAAACAACCATTTCTTAGTTTCAGTCTCTAACTTTCCTAGATTTATTTGTGATAAATTAAATATTCTTGGATTAAGAGTGTTAGGAAACCATGGTTGGCATTTTTGTTTTTGTATTTTTTGACATTTTATAGACTAAACACTCAAATAACCAGCAAATGAATCTTTAATGAAAAGTTGCCGCACTTTGTCACTACATTTTACATTCAGCAGCATTGCCTTTACCCATATTTCCCCAAAGGAAAATGAACTGTGTGTTGTAATGACCTGAGTGTGTGGTGCCTAATCCCCCCTCTGCCACATTTGTGAGTCACAGATGTCAAATGTCACCGAGCAGATTAACCTGTTGTCACTCGGCTTCCTAAGCAGTTTCTGCCTGAGCTCCTCAGACATCACGTCCCGGTAACTTCTCCGACATCTTAATGACATTGTTGGCATGCCACTTGCTGCCGTAGCCCAGGAAGCGTTTATAATTAGATGCACAACTTGTCTATACATGTGGTGTGATGGGACGTTAATGACATTATTTCAGTAAAGTGTGCTGTTGTAGTTGTGTGTATGAGTGATCATTGTTCATTATTTTCAGTAACCTCTCTAAAATGTGGTCTGCTTTGAGGTTTAAATGAAAGTCAGTGAGTCTTTGAAGTGTATAAAATATTTAAATTGCCTTTTTAAAGAACTTCTTCTCATGGATTATGTATCTTCTGATATTTGGAAGGGCCTCTCTCTGGAGCATGTTTGACTTCCACATTACAAAGGAAATAAATAAATCAGTGGGTCAGTCAGTAACGCAACACTGAACGCACAGTTTGAACATGCAAATATCTGTCATATTTACTTTGCAGTGATATTTCGAAAGGTTACGGCATGTGGCTCTGCTGTAATGTACGCTTTGTAACAAGAACCTGAGCGTGCCTGTGATAACGTCCCTCATCATCTGCATATTTCTTCATTTGTTCTGCTGTGTTAGCATTTAAAAAGTTTGATTTTTCAGTGGCCTGTCTGGTGGGCCAAACTACATTAAATAACTATGCAAGTGTCAAATGTTAGAGATGAGTACTTTTAACAGAATGATCTATTGATTTGACTTTATACTGTAGATAGGATTTCCCTGGTGACCTTGGTTTATAGTGAGAGCATTTCATGAGACTGTGTACTCGTAATGTTAGATAGGCTGTACCCATAAGGTAACCAAAACCTAGTAATGCAGGTATAAGGTTCACAACTTCAGCAACGGCCTAATTAAAAATATTGACTTTAAAAATCATTTAACATATTTATTTTAAACATATTTAATGTCTCACACGTTAGACATGCTATTAATATTTAGAAGCTAATAAGATTGCACTTATGAAGTGAACAAACCACAAATTATTTGTTTTGGATAAGACAACCAGTAGTTCAAAGGAGCATCTGAGTAAAAGTTTAAGCCACACCTAACATAACATTACTGAGATGCAGAATCACTGATCCACTACAAGGAAGACGTGCATGTGTAATGGCTTCGAAGCAGCTCAGATGTGCAGCGCAGGGAGGGAGCTCACTCATCTGGTTGAGTTCTAACCACTGCCCTGTAGCATGTTTTGCTGTTGTTATGGTGAGCTGCTACCAGCTGTGGAGAGAACATTCCTGTTATTTAATAAATAATGTTTGTTTATATAAGAGTAATGTCAGCACTTGCATGGTTGTTATGCAGCGCTGTAGTCTGTGAAAACTGTGGGTTAAAGCTACAGTAGGTGGTAGATGAGTGTTGGTTTTATTTCTGGAAGGTAACTCAAACACGAAGCGCTTGTCGCATATTTGCTTGTTATCAAGGGCAAAGTACTTGGGACATCACTTCCCTATAACCTCTACTTCTTTGCAGCATTTTTAGGTTGTTGAAATACAGACCTATTAACTTCGAGGGATTAAACCATTCCTCTGTTTAAAATATATGTGTTTCAGGTGCTGCCTTCAAAGATTTTATTTTGCAGGAACTACCAAATACTTGCAAAGACATGAAGATATGGGATAGCACAGATAGCAAAGTTGTCTCCGCTGTGTCTTGTGTCTTGTATGACCCCAAAAAGCCAGTTTGTGGGTGAAAAATTAATGAAGAGGATCATATTTGCCAGTAGGAAACTGCTGCGTCTGGGGTATCTACTGCAAGAGCATGTGGCGTGGACAGAGACAGGACAGTGAACATGATGATTGGGTATAGAATGACACAGTTGAGTTCACTGGAAAGTGCATTGGAAACTCCCTTAAAAATGTTCAGGAATTGTCCCAGGTAAAGCAATTACTTTAGCCTAATTATTGATATAAACATCCACATAATCTTTAAGTAGTACACTTTTAAGAATCATTATTTTTGTATGGTGCAATGGAATTTGTATTTATGGAATCAAAAGCATGACGACAAAGCTTTTTCTTGTGTTTTCCTTATAAAAATCCCAGTCAAAACACATACACACAGTCTGAGTGTGTTCACTCCATCGCCTCCATCAGACCCCTCTGAAGTGGGTGTGTCTGCACCAGTATTATGCAGAGCCCTCTCTCTATCTGGTATTATGTCTGTGTGGAAGACAAGAGCAGCCAATGGCATGGGCAGAACCTACCATCTCCCTCGTTTCACAGGGGTGGGTGGTGTTTGTGCAGCATCCATTTACATCAGCTTTCCTGTTATGCATTGCTTTGTCAGTTATTAGCATGTGATAATGATGCTTTTATGCTTAGACAAGGTCAGTGTGATCAATATTAGCTTATTTGGCTTGGGGTTAAGATTTTCCTTCCTCCTTCACCCCTCATCTTCGTCCTCCCCTTTTCTTAACCAGTAGTCCAACGTGGCCAGGTGAATGACGGCAAGCATGACGACAGATGGCCCTTACACTCTGAGGGATTATATATTAACACCAAGCAGCTCAGATCCTCTTGCACACACATACAAACAGAGGTGTATGCACACACTCACGTAGGCCAGCTCAAGCCATTTTCACACCGACACAAATCAGCAGAATGATGCCCGAGACCCAGCTGGTGTGTCACAGCCCAGCAGACACACAGTAGAATAAGAAAAACGGGATTTAACTGATGGACAGAGAGACAGAGGACCGTTTTTCTGTGGTCACCATGGAAGTGTGGAGCTCTTCAGCATCCGAGGAAGGGGATGAAGACAAGAGCATGTCCAGTCTTGTGGGTGTAGTAGTGGAGGAGGAGAAGAAATGCTACAACAGCAACAATAATAACAACAACAACAATGACAGCCTTTGCAGGGAAGTGACACAAGGTGAGATTAGGGAGTGTGTGAAGAGGTAGAGGATAAGAAAGGCAAGTAGCATGGAGAGACTCACCACTGATCTACAGTACAGAGCCAGTGCCTAAAAGAGACAGTGTGGGGAAGAATGAAATACAAAGTCAGGGGCAAAAAATGTTAACATTATGGTTGTAATTTCACTCTTTGGTCTGTCTCTCCACTGCATTGTCGAGGTCTGTGTTAAAAGTAATATTTGCTGTGTGTTCCATAAGGACGTGAAGGATCATGACTGTTTGTGTTTTGTTAGCTTAGAAATATTGTGTTTGTTGATATTTGTAATCACATTTCATGACCAATTTATGCAGAAAACCAGGAAATTGCAAACAGTGCCATTACTGTAAGTGCTTTAATACTGTATAGCGCGCTGCATGTACTGAGGGCAGGCTCCAGCGAAGTTACTGACGGTGCATCACACAAATAATCATTACAGGTTGACAACATGCTTGTTTTTGCACTTCTTGTCATAGGGCTCCGTTCATTTATCATTGAAGTGCCAGAGACGTTAAGTTTTTTGAATATACTGATCTTGAATGTTTCCTCTTGGTGTAGTCAAGGTCATTGAGCCTGCGTGTGTGTGTGTGTGTGTGTGTGTGTGTTTGTGTTTCCGCGCCCACACACCGTGCAGCAGCACAATCAAGCCCTGTGTGTAAACAGTTGTCTTTGGCACTACTGTGAATTTGTGTTATCTCTTGCACTGCTGCAGTTATTATTAGAGGTCAGAGCCACAGAATTAGGGAATAGTCATTTAATGCTGCAGTTTGCATTTATTGGATTTCCTCCCTCCAGTATGCTTTACCTTTACGTAGTCTATTAGTGTGTTATTTTTCTAAATGTGAGTCAAAATGTTGTGCTTTTGAAAGCATAGAAAATTACATTTGGCCAAATGAGACTACTCTGTGTTTCAGGAGGACAAAAACTGCAGGTACCTGAGCTGCCCCAGTTTCAATCCTCTGTTTTCAGTTGTCTTTGCTTCTGTGGCAATGCCTCGAGCAAAGCTTCATCCCCTGTACACTTCAAGAAATTTCTGCCAACAATAGGATTTTTATGAAGTACCATATTGGAGTGTTACTTTCTGGTCTTTATGCTTTGTCCAGACAGATTTAGAGGTCCTGTCAGTCTTGTCATGTGTGCACCTTCAGAATGGTATCAGTGTGAATCTTATTCTTAGCTCCTCCATGCCTGTCTGATCCTCTCAACATCACAGATGTCATAAGTATACCTAACTCAATAATGGTTATCCGTAGGAACAGTATTAACAGTTCAGGGTTGCTGCCTGGATTTGCCTTTCCTTGATCTGGTAGCCAGGTCAAGAGGACATGGTTCAGGTATTTTTGTAGGTGAATGTACAGTTTAGGTTCTTGTAGGAGGATACAGTACACTGAACTTCAATTCACGATGCCTGAGAAAGGTCCAAGATGAAAAGATACTTTAATTAGTTACAAAGACACAGCACTGGTGTTCTACTTGGATGGTCCTAGGATTTAGATTATCTTGTGTGGGACTAGATCAGTATCTAAAACCTTTCCACAGTCCTGCTGCTCATTTTGCTTTTAGCACAAGCACCGCAGTTCACTTAAAGTACAGTAGGATTTGAAGAAGTTGAATTATATTCTCATTAACCTTTGATTATTTATAGGCTGTATCTTGATAATGACACAAATTGCCAGTCAGTGCTTAAGAAAACTCATATGAACATAATGATGAGTAATTTATTCTGTACGGTAGATGACTTTTTATTAGCATTAGTGTTTGGTGCACCCCCCCGATTCAAGGTTATTTAGTCAGTGTTAAAAACCAGATAGCAGGATCTTATTATCAGAAACAGACCTGGTGACATACTTGTATTATACCTTTACAAATGGTCTTTTTTTTTTTAACAGTGTAATGAGAAAAATTAATTTAGAGTCGAGCTTCAGAGTTTATTTTTGACATGGAAAATTAAAATTCAATTCGCCTCAGGGTCGATTTAGAAACACATGGTCTTCATTAGTTTATGGCATTTTCCCAGTTGTACTAGATTTGTAGTTATTTTCAATTTCATGTTTTTGAGCACTGGTGTAATCTTGGCCTTTCAGATCTCAGAGATATTTTATGATTAAACTAATTGAAAAGATTAAAATGGCAGTATCCATGATCTAGATTTTGGAGCCAGGGTTGAACGACTGTGTTACAGCAGATTCATCCTTCTTTTTGAGATTCAGTATTAAAGTTCATTTGCCTTGCTGCAGTGTCCTTGAGAAAAACACAAGATCCTGCCAACAAACCTGTTATCTAAACCACCAGTGAGCTCTAAAGATTCAACTTTTTCAGGAGTGAATTGGTCGCATGATGTTTGTGACTTTTCTCTGCCCTCCTGACATTTGTTTTGCACGAGCTAACAAGCTTTTGTTATGCTTCTGCACCATATAACACTACAGTTTTGTTTTGGCATTTGTCTTTATTTAGTGGGAATGAAAACATAACTCAACTCAGGTAGTTAGAGACTGTGTTTACATTCTATAATTAATGGGCAGCTACAGTATAGTCTACGGTGCAGTCGTTGGGCACAGGATTGGAATCCTTCCATTAGACTGATTAGACACTGATAGAGCTATCCAGTCGCTGTGTTTCCAGGCCATATTCATGCACCTCAATCTAATTAATTTGCTTATATGTCAACTGTGCCTCTCTTCGGTCCGGCTAAGCTTTCTGTTGAGGCAAGGTTACACAACAGATTTTGGTTTAGAGTTAGTCAGAACTGTACATAAGAGCAGACAGATTCTAGATATTCTCCAACAATTTGGTCTTTAAAAACTTTAAGGGATTCGATTAAGAACCTGTCTTTGTCAGTCTGAACTGAGTGCATGGCTAATCGGTCTCGCAGACCTCGTCACCCTTCCTGACATAAACCATTGTCCATGAACAAAGTTGCAGGTCAACAGCCAGTCACTGCTGGTGTGAGACTGCCAGGATCAAACTTTGTCAGTTCCTCTCCTGTTGAACTATGTTTTCAGAAGAACGAGGTCTTTATTGGTGTCTTATCTGGGCTTAAAAGGATCAAGCTAAGAGGATCATTATCTGGCTGAACACATGGAGATGCTGTGATCTGCAGCTCTGGAACCTTAAAGGGGAAACAAGATCCACTCGGGGCTCTCATTCATACAAAGAATACTGTTTTCAGTTTCATATTGTCACAGGGTCATATTAAATAATATTTAAGGGTGTGTCATGTCAACCTTTGTTTCTTCACTTGATTAAATACTGAATCATAATCAGTTTTTAAATATTTATAATCCATTTCATCAGAGCAGTGCATCCAGAAATGCAACAGAAAATCAGAAACATTGAATACAAAATCAAAGGATTGGGCTCTTTAGCCATTTTCTGTTGTAATAAAGCTTGTTGGTTGAGAAAAATAAAAATAGAGCAAGAGTTAAGTGAAAACTGAAAAGCTGCATCATAGCCAGTTAGCAAGGCTGTGCTGTTGCACCGTCCTTCCTCTGTCATCTTCAGCTCTGTCTCTTCCTGCATTTGTTAATTCAGTCTGTCTCTCCTCCATTAGTGCTGTGCTCAGACAGAGTGGGCCAGGTCACCAAGACGTATCATGACATTAAGGCTGTCACCCACCTGCTGGAGGAGGTAAGAGAGAGACACCACAGCAGATGAACAGGATTAGAGGGATTAAACTTATCTGGCTTGCTGACCATCACTGTTTATCACTCTTTTCAGCACTCATTTCCATCTGTGACATCAGTAGAAAGCAAATTGCTCACAAACTGTGATTTCCTGACTATAACTATGATTACATAACTACAAAACCTAAATGTGCTGCACTGTGTTGTATCATCCTGCATTGTTCAGGAAAAACAACATCAATATTTATGTATCACTGTGCAGAAAGAGCGGGATCTGGAGTTAGCAGCGCGGATTGGTCAGTCCCTCCTCAAGCGAAACCAAGAGCTCACAGCACGCAATGAAATGCTGGATGAACAGCTTGAAATTGCAAAGGAGGAGGTACAAACAAACGTCATGATATACACTTGTGCAGATACACTGAGAAACACGATCTGTGATATTTTCCGGTCTGCTGAGCTCAAGTGACCCTGCCTTGTTTTGTAGATTGCTCAACTTCGTCATGAGCTCTCAATGCGAGATGACCTCCTTCAGTTCTATGCCAGCACCGAGGAGGTCGAGAACGCTGAGTCGCACCCCCCGTGAGTACAGCACACACATCCACAGAGGCTGAGGAGTGACCATTGGAAATATTAAGCTTCATGAAAACATAAAGTGTTTAGTTTGTTTTAAAACATAGCGTGACATTGGGTCTGTGGCCAAGTCTGTGGAACTAATCCTACAACAGAACATCTCCACCGATCCACAGCTTTCATTAATTATTAATAATCCCATTTTCTAAAGCTGATACTTTGTCTGTCAGTTCTGCTTAAATTCATTCTGCATGCCTAAGAAGTGAAGTACTAGTAGACAGATATAATAGATATAATCAGTAGCCAGTTATTTTCTGCCACTGGACTGAACATCAAACCCCATTATGCAGTAGAATTTATTGTGACTGTTTTTCCACAACAGTGTCTTCACTATCAAAATGACAGCCATGTGACTTTATATCCAAAAGTATAAAATCATTTTTTCATTGTTAGTAAATGTTGGAGTTCAGTAGTCATCATTATTTGTCTTTTGAAGTTATGCTGATTTGATAAAGGTATTTTTTCTAATGCGAACACATTTGGCAGAGTAAAAAGGAACGAGTCGTGCAGTTCTCTCAGTGACTTGGTCCACTACGACTTCTTGCAGCAGAAACTGAAGGGTTTAGAGGAGGAGAACCGCAGGATGAGACTAGAGGTACACAACATTACAAAGTTCTCCCACAGAATAAAATGATAGGTGCATGTACATGCAAGAGAAAATAGGACATTTAAAAAAAAAAAATTATGTATAAAATGCAGTAATGTAAAATGTAGGAATATAACAAATGCACAAAAGGAATGTATCATTTTGAAATGTTTAATACAATATAATACAGTTATGCAGACCGTCACTTATCCCCTGCATTAAAAGTTTTCACATCAACATTACAGGCCAATGAGCTCACAACAGAGACGACCAGCTATGAGGAGCAAGAACAGGAGCTGATGATGGTGTGTGTGGAAGAGCTTTGTAAGTGTTACGGTCATGTTTTAATATGTGGAAATAATGTAACTGTAACTCAGGCACGGGTGCATTTATCAGACCTGTGTCTTTCAGCCTCTGTCAATAAGCATGTGGTCGACCTGTCAGAGGAGCTAGCACGGAGAGTAGAGGACTCTCTCCGACAGCAGGAGGAGATCAGCTCCCTGCTCGCTCAGATTGTGGACCTGCAGGCCCGCTGCAAAGGAGTGAGACACACACACAAATACACACAAGCTTTCCAAGCAAGGTGTCCTTTAGGAGCAGTTACTGACTTTGTGTAACAGATATTATTAAACACTTAGTTTTGCTTTCACATTTTCACATGTCATTTCAGTCTCAACCAGTGGATTAATGTGAAATCCCAGTAAAACTTTATTCCCTCTTTTCCTCAAGCTCGCCCACGAGAATGAGGAGCTGAACCAGCACCTGAATGCCTCCCGTGAGAACCAGCACAGACTTAAATCAGAGGCAAGTCTGATTTAAGCTACGCTTTAATACTCCCACAGTCCTGAGGAGGTGGAGTAGGAACCTGTCACACTCTTGTTTTGTTTTCCTTTCTGAATGACTGACCGGGTGCCAGGATGTTGACACAGAAGGTTGCAAAGGCGACGTACAGCACTTTCCTGGAATATAATTTTGGGATTGGACAACATGCAAGAAGTAAAGAAATGTAGAAAGAAAAACTTACTTTTGACCTCAGAATATGTAAATTTGATAATTGGTAAATGTGTCTAACAGCTGATCTGAGAGCCACCATGAAGTTTGCCTTAATGCTCTTCTCCATTCTGACACCCACCTGTGCAAAAGCAGACCTCAGCCTTAATACCTTTCTCCTGTGTACGCTGGGTGTTACCATGTACCACGTTCTCTTTGCTTTTCAGTTTGACTGATGTGCCTTCCCCTGTCCACAGCTCAAGGACCTGCAGGACAAATACTCCGAATGTGAGGATATGCTCCGCGAGGCCCGAGAGGACATTAAAAACCTGCGAAACAAGAGCCTGCCCAACAGCACGGTGCAGCGGTACACTGCTCTGGCCTCTGTCCTCCCCATGGACTCACTGGCAGCCGAGATAGAAGGCACCTTCCGCAAAGGCCTGGACACCACAGCTCCCTCAGAATACAAGTATGTTTGACATTGTGTGTGTGTGTGTGTGTGTGTGTGTGTTCCCACTTGTAGAAGACTGCTTGAATTTCCCTTACCCATTCCTATAGATAGATAGATGAAGTTCAGGATTCAGAAAAGTGAGTGCTACAGACTCAGCACCAGGACTATTACTGTAAGCATCAAAAAACCTTTGATGGCTCAATACAAGTATAAACGACCACCGAGATGGACTGTGATCCAGTCACTGAAACCACTTGCAGAGGGGGCCTTGGAGGCATTTGACCACACAGCTTTTGTATTGTAAATGCTAATGTGTCTCCGACAAGATCATTCAAGGAAAACATGTCATTGATGCAGGACATGGTGGTTGCTTTGGTGAGAGCAGCCAGCACTCAAAAAATCAAAAATGCAGAGAGATGTCCTATACAAATCTATACCATGTCTGGTAACAAACTGAAGTAATAATTGTACCCATGGCCATTCAATATTTAAGTGGAAGTGTCGCAGTAGCAGTGAAATCTGAGCACAAGTGGTCAGCTGGACACCTTGGAGACGCATGTATATCGACAGGTGTAAACGGTGATGTGTCTTCGATCATTGAGACACATTTTAATTCCAAGTCCAAACAGGGCCAGCGTGTCCTTATTTTAAACCACACAAGAAACTGGAGTACATTGTTAAAATCCCTGCAGGGTGGGTGAACTTGGGACTAAATCTAACTCTAATGTGGGCTACACTTACAGCCATTACTGAAGGAGCATGACACTCTTACACGGGGCAACAACGAACATCCCTTTTCAACTACTACTATCCTTCCCACATTCTGTTATTTTCTGTGACTAAGGGTCTCAGCTGCAAACTCAGCAAGCTGCTACAAATTTCTTTTATAACAAAATGTTTGGCGGGAGTTAAAAGCCTTAAATCACATTAAGTAGCAGGCTTTACACAAGCAGGGCCAAAACAATGGACGACACATCTTCCACCCCTCATCACTGAGTCGTCTAGGTCACTGGTTGATGGGACAGGTTCCTCTCTCCTCCCTCTGACACAGTCTTGTTACTAGCCAGTTGTTATTCTGTATATTTTACTTTGAAACAGTTCTGCCATGCCATCCTGCTTGTGTCTGACTATCACACATAAATATACTATATACAGCAATTTTGTTGATTGTAAATAAATAACTGTTTATACAGTTTTGTCACTACAGCTTGCATAAGACAGTTCTTAGATTTGGATTCATATGATGAACTAATATTTTCCAAGATACACTGATGGTCTCTGAGTATTATAGTGCGATTTCATGACCACTCCTACCCTCTTTCTGCTGGCAGGAACCACCCAAAGCGTGTGTTTGAAACAGTGAAGGTGGCCAACAATGCCGGGAGGCTGCGGTCTCGGTGCCAGTCCCCCGGGCTGCCGGGCTCCAGTCCAGTGTCCACTCGCCCCAGTTGCAGCAGCACTCCCCGAACCAGCTACTATGGGTCTGATAATGCCAGCATCACTCTGGAGGACAAGCCCAATAACGCTCAGAAAGATGACCACAGGTGTATTTATATCACATGGGAAAATAGAACCCTACTTTGGATTATTTTAGACACATGTCTCTGCCTGCAGTATGGCATATTTAATGTTTTTGGAAATGTTAGAATCTCGACAAAATAAAATAAATAACAGTTTTTGCAACATGAGTTGATAGTGTATGTCCTAAAGTGAGGCAGCTAAAACTGTCCATTTTTCCCTTGTAGTGTCAGCGGGCCAAAGCGTCTGGGCCAGCCAGGTACGCCCGGAGGCCAGGACCTCGAAGCTGCTCTGCGCAGCCTGTCAGCACGCCAGCAAAGCCACTGCTCTGAGCAGCCTTTCTTTGATGTCGAGTGAGAGCGTAAGCTCTGCGCAGCCTGTCAGCACGCCAGCAGAGCCACTGCTCTGAGCGGCCTTTCTTTGATGTCGAGCGAGAGCGTAAACTCTGTGCTTTGGTAGCAGACTGTGAGGAGGGCGAGGGCTCCAGTGGCTTCCTCACCCCAAATTACAGCCTGGCATCCAGCCCTGCAGCATCGACGGGCACCAACTACTCCAACGGCAGCTCACGACACTCCTGTGGCTCCTCAGGAGGATCCAGGTCCGACCTGCCCGACCGCCTGCAGATTGTCAAACCTCTGGAAGGTAAAAACTTTCAGCAGTGTGTGTTGTTTCTTGGAACTTGTTCAAGTTCCTTAAGAATCGTGAAGCATAAGAATGTGTTATTAAAAATCCAAGAAAGATGAGCAAAGACATCCGATCACTGTTGATACTGATTAGTGCCACAGGTGCAAAGCTGCCCTGCTCTTAGAAGTAGAAACCTTTCCTTAAAATGGATGAATTAAAAATTCACAAAGGGAAACGAGGTGAAAGACAGAAGTAAAACAAGCAGATAACATGCTGCCACATTTAACAGTAGCAGCCAATGATACATTTATAAATAAAATTTACTATGACACACACTAACAGTCGGAATTTTTAGAACTCACCCATTATCCTGTAGCAGGATAATGACCCCAAAAAACACCCCCAGCTGTGCAGAGGACAGGAACAAAACGGTCGGCTTCAAATGAAGCAGTGGCAGCACATGCCTACTAAAGTAACTACTGCTCTGGTTTGTCACAACCTTCTTGACACCTGAGGGATGACTAGACAGTTGGGATCATCTGGAATTATGTTTTATTTTTATTTCATTGTGATTCAAATTCTTTTTGTGCCTTCCATATAACTATTGAAGCAGATAATTGCTGGTGCCTCCATCTTGTTCATTCACCTCTGTCCAGTGACTTTACTTGAGTTTTCTTTACTTTGTATATCATTTGAACCTTCCGAGCCAGAACCACTGAGAACATACTCTGCTTTTGTAAGGGAGACTTTGCCAAGAGGCTGAGATGCTGCTAAACACAGTGTTTACTCTAACACCACTCAAATGACAAATATTGAAGACACTATGAAATAAAATGTGAAATCATAGTTAAAGCCTAGTGAAATGCATAAAACTGCACAGAGCACTCAGAAAGAAGTAATCATTATTTCTAATGTAACTGCATTCTTCAACTACAGTTCCCTCCTGACTCTCTCATCAGGCTCAGTGACTCTGCACCAGTGGCAGCAGCTGGCCAGGCCAAACCTGGGAGGCATCCTGCAACCACGTCCGGGTGTCTTGACTAAAGACTTCATGGAGCTCGAGGTGGACATACAGCAGGTCTACAGCCTCAATGACCTGGAGGAGGATGAGCCTGACCTGTCGCAGCTCTCTGGAGCATACGGCACGGGTAGGACACGTGCTGCTCTCACACAGTTCCACTACCTCTGTCATTCCTATTCACCTCATGAACTCTCCTATAAAATTCATGTTTCCTGCTTTAAATATTGGAATATTTAAGACTGCATTTGCTTCATTTTCTCAGTACATGTGGGTGTTTCCTTCATGGGTAGTTTAACATGTCTTTCTCCCTCCATGACCTCACAGTCTCTCCATCCAGTCCCAACCTCCCCCAGACCTCTCCCACACATACCATTACCACTTGTCACGTCCTCCGACCCTCCCTCCTCATGCCCTCCATCTCCACTAGGTAAGAATACACACACATGCAGTCTCCCAGAGACTTGGTGGGCTTTCATGCATGCTGTATTGTCTTTGTGTATTCTTCATAGACCTGACCAAGTTAGATTTGAACTCATACTTGATTTTGTATTGGCATGATGGACCTAATTTCCTGTTACTCTGAACAAGGAACTCCTGAAAAAGAATCTTTTATGCTCATTAATCTATAGCTTTGTTTTGCAGTGCATCTTTCATTTAGTGAGGGTGGATATTCCAGATTTGCTCTCTTCCATCCTGCTGCTTTTTCTCTTCACTTCTGCCCTTTACTCCCACAGTGGCAGGAAACATCTGTCTGGGCTCCTTGTCCAACTCTAGGAGTCCTCTGGACAAAGTAAGAGTTAAGGGCTACAGATGCACTGTGAATGCTTCAGTATTAACAACAGAGGCCCAGAACCCTAATTATGTTTGGTAACATTAGAAAAGAACCTTTTGCCTAAATTTTTTTTAAAAGAAACTTTATAATGTCCGAGGTCCATATGTTAAACATTATCTATGCCTTAACTGAAATGGTCATAGCCACCTTATGGCAAAATTGTGTGCGGTGCTTCTGTGAGTATTCACCTGTCACTGCCTACTAACAGCTGTTCTAACTTGGTCGTGCTGCCTGCATGTTCTTCACTTGTTACACTGCATGTTTTTAGCTTGTTAACCTTTATTTATTCAGGGTAAGTCTGCTGAGCAGCCACCTCTCTTCACCTCTCCTGTATCTTTAGGAGCGCCCTGTTCCCATTCACACAGTTACACCTGGAAGCCCAGTACAACCACAGACTGGTGTGTGGCCAATGAGCAGCTTAAGGGCTTTGCTCAAGGCCACCACAGTGGTGTTAATGAGGGTGAGGCAAATACTTTGTCACCTGTCGCACCCAGATTTAATCCAGCTGGTCTGGGGATTGAACCAGTGTCACAAGCTCGCTTCTCTTTTTTAATGTCTCTTTCCC